CAACGCGCCAGTAACTTATAGCAAAAAGGGCTAATGACATTGAAAAAAGTCACTAGAATCACTAAAAAATTAATAATAATAATAACGTACACACTCATTGGCCCACGCTAAGGAAATCCTGAATCGCGGGTGCCATGGACACACACAAAAACAATCACAAATTACATCCAAACTCACGAGAGAAATAAATGTAATAGAACCCGGGACCTCTGCGTGGCAGTCCACTATGGTGACCGTTCGATCACGGAGGCAGTTAGCAAATTGGATGGCTCTGTATGTTTCTGCGACAAAGCTAATATATACAAGCTGGTGGAATTACAGGCACATGGGACTTTTCAACTTATGTCCCAGGGTGATGGGCGCCGAGGCTGCACCTCAGATCTTTGCGATTTAAAGCTCTTAGTCGCACTGCAACTGTTATGGACAGTCGTGTCGCTTACCATCAGACGCGCGACTTGTTCGTTCCATCACTTATTAACACAAAAAAGCGTATTTGTAAAATACGTAAGGCTATATTGCTAACATCATAAACAACACTTTTGTTCAATAACTTTTCAAAACGTAATAAATTAAACAAAAATAAACTTTTAAGTTTTTGTTCTACTGTCACTTTTTAGGTCTGTATTTGTTAGAATAAGTTCAAACGTGCAAGTGTCCGCCACGACACGACGACACCCACCCGCGCTCCTCCATTTTGCACAGAGTTATCACTGTCTAGAGCGATCTATTTAAATATAATTACTTTTGTTCGAAAGTAAAATGTATTGAACTATTAAAAGTCATGGAACATAAGTTGTTGTCTATGATGTTAGTAATATAAAAATAAATAACCCTGTAGATTTATGTTCAATGGGAAGACTGTAGTTTAGGCATTTGTGTGCTATTGTCCGATGTGTTTCCGAACGAACTTATAGACTAAATGTTGCACTGGAATCTTCAGAATGGAAGATATTGTTCTGATGATAGACTTATGATATTTCACTTGTGGGAATTGCCTGGCGTTAAAAAAGGTAAATGTCAGTTATGATATCGTTTATAATAAATTTATTTATTGGAGTAAAATTTTGAATATTCGAGAATTTTGCTGAAGTGGCTGCCTGGCATGCAATATGATACTATTTTTTTTTAACAATGAAGATAGCTACTTTTGCTCTTTTCATACACACGTGGGCATTTTAGGTACTCTACAATATAGTTACACACTCACTGTTCCAACTTTGGTCGACTAAAAAGTCTGAAATCACCTTAATAACCCTGTCATAGGCTTGCCAGATAGCCGGGAAATCCGGGATTGTCCCGGAAACTTTTCGTCGTTAGGCCTTACTTTTTGATTTTATCTTTTCATTAAAAAGTCCCCCCAGACGCATCGCTGTGCAAAGTAATGTCGAAATATTGATTGCGAATGACGTAAAATTTTTGTAGGTGCTCAATAAGTATTAAAAACTGCCAGAAAACGGTAAAAAACAATTAGAAAACAAACAATGTTCAGTTGGCCATCTGACAAATTAGTTCCAGTGGTAGATGGCCTGTCTCGCTTACCCTAGTAGAATTGTCCCGGAAATGATAAGTGAGTATCTGGCAACCCTACCTTGTCATGACATGGGGCGAGTCTCGTAATGACGTACGCATCGTATTCTCAGCACATCTGGAGCACACTGGGAAACAATCAGCGACTGTTCTGCACTGATTGGCATTCCTTTCATTCAGCACGGCATGACGGCTATGGAATGGAATTCCCTGCTTGCAGACTTGTCCTTTTATGGTACTAATAACTTGGGCCTTTTCAAGGCGAGAGTGAGTAGGCATTATTTAGGTGTGCAGGCTTCTTCGTCAGCCTCATCGTCACTTTCTATCAGGTGAGATGGAGATCAAAAGAACACTTATTTTTTTTATTATAAAAAAATATGTTTTAAGATGCCTTTCAAGCCAGTTTGATCTTTAAGGTATAGATACTTTCTTATATACAGAATACACATTTCAACCCTTAATGCTAAAGATTCTCAGAATCAAAAGGTCAGTTAGAGCGTTCGGTATCTTACGGCATGGACTATACATACGAAAAACTTGCTTAGCTCGCCATGTTTGTTTAATCGAAGTCAAAGTTCGTTTTATAAAGCTCAGCCTTAGCCCTGAGCCGCGACGATATAATGTATGCCATCGCAACAGACAGATACCGATAATGTATTCCATTCCTTTGTCATAAGATTGGGACGTAGGGAGCAAAGCGCCTCGTGCGAATGAAAGAAACGAAACATACCTTATACTGCTGCAATATGATCGACTTGTTTTTGGAGAACGTTAATCGCTCGTCGTCTCATAGTCTTTCAAATCGTCGTAATTTGCAATAATGGATATTGAATTTTCAACGATATGCCAACTGGGTGATGTTTAAATTATATTAACAATCCAGAATTTGTTACATCTTTTTAAATTCGAAACTATGACCAATCATTATCAAGATTTCATAGTGTTTAACATTATGTTTGTGTGAGTTTTCGCGACAGCTGTTCTAATAAATTGGCAAAAATCCTTTGACCACGATGACAAACATTTCAGTTGGCCACCGATACGATGAGAAGGACAGTTAAATATAAGTTTGTCAAACATTAGGGCCAACACGGGCAGTTTTAAAACGACGCTGTGATACGTATATGATACTGTGTGTGTGTATGAAAAGAACAGAATCAAGGACATTCATTTTATGCAGTACCGGCCAGGACTATGTACTTCATAGTCCTCCGAAGATGAGTTATAACCAGTGATCGGAATAGGTATTTACAGAAACTTCGAGGAACAGAGACAGAAAGTGGAAACTACCTTAAGACAATATTTTTTGTCCTAGATTTTTCGGGATTCGGGAAATCACTAAGTACATTAAAAATTGACGTTATTTGGGATAGGTAGGTAAACTATATTCATCTAAACTTTGCAACGATTTGATTGATGTACTATAGTTACTAGCCAGAGCCCATTGTTTAATTCTCTGTCTTCTTTCTGCTTATCGGCTTTTTTTTATTTCCACGGGATCCGCTCATCAGATTCTGACTTCTTGGGACTGTTACGGACTTCTTTGTACATTTTATAGTTTTTATTCTGGTTGTCACGGTGACGGTGATTTTTAAATTACAGTCATGTATGTACTATGTCAAGTGAAAAGTCGACTTTTATTTGAAGAAAATTAATAAATATTTGTGATAGCCGAAACGAACCCGGAACAGCATCAGGGACCACCTCGAGAGTATACCCTTTCAAACAAAAAAAGAATTTTCGAAATCGGTTCAGAATTGATGGAGAAATCGGAAAACATACATTCAGCCGAACGTATAATCTCCTATTATTTTTGTAATCGGTTAAAAACGTATACTTAAAACTACACGAAGAGTCGATGCTGTAGTTTTAGGATCCCGGAGGAATGTCCATAAATCAACAGTGTTTGAAAGACATATCTTAATAATTCTAATTACATGTATTAAGAAAGATTTTTTGTCGGATTTTTTCTAAATATGCCAAAAAATTAGTGCAACCACAACTTATCGCTAAGTTTAGATAAATTTAGTCTACCTACTAACCCCAAATAACGTAAATTTGGATCATAGTTATGTGATTTCTCGAATCCCAAAAAAATCCTGGACAAAAAAATATTGTCGTAAGTACTCTCCACTTTCAGTCTCTGTTCCTCGAAGTTTGCAAATATACTCTACCTATTCCGATCACTGGTTATAACCAATTTGACATAAAGTCACATAAATATTTTTTTTTTATTTGGTAGCACTTCAACAATAACGTTTCGACACATCCGTAGAACAAAGATCTATGTGCAAGACTACTTGTTCTCAGGACAAAGTACATTTCGTTCGTTCTTTCTTCGCTGTGGAAGTCAGATCGACTGTTGTTCGATTTTATATTTCCGAAAAGAAATAAGGTACATAAATTGTCGAAACACCTTTTCATAGGCCTTAGTTTGAACAACTAAATTATTCTCGTAACGCACTTATTCTCTTGTCGCTGTATAATCACATCGGACTCTGTTCTTCGGATGAGTCGGTTTGTCAAAGTTTAAGGATTCTTTTTTTAAATATTTTTAGGCACCTTGTCAGCACGAAAACTAGTTCTAGAAAAGATTACTAAAAAACCTAGCCTACACAAATAACACGGAAGCAACCGCTTACAAGTTAGTGCCATCGATTAACTAGGATGTTTTGAAACGTTTAGTTTCAAATATTAGGTTAATTAATTTCTACTTGATATCTAATAATACCAAATCGTGTCAATCATAAAGTGACCAAATTCAGACGTTAACGTCTATGGGAAACTGTTAAAACAGTTGAAAAGAAACAAACGAAACTAACATGTTTATATTGGTAACATACAGAATTAATAAAAATTGAAGTATAGTACAACATTGTAAGGGATCGCTGGAAGAGTAGGAGTTACAAGTTAGGCCGGGAAGAAGTCGCACGGTCCATAAATGGCAATCTTTCCGTGTTCGTTTTTGAAGGTAATGCAAACTTTCTTTCTTTCAAACTTTCAAAAAACGAACACGGAAAGTCGGTCATAAAAAAACCATGTGACTTCTTCCAGGCCAAGGCCAACATGAAAATCCATTACTGTCCGCTGCACTTTTCAATCTATTTAATGAAACTAGTAAACAGGCAAAAGAAAACTTATACAGCCAACTGTTCGTAATAGCGAGAATTCAAAATAACTACTTGTACCGCTTACTTTTTTTTTAAAAAAAGGCGGTAAAGCAGCCGGACTGGAGGAAATTTTTCCTAGTGTTCGATCTTTGTATTAATCATTATTGTCAAATATTACTTTTAATAGGAATGAAACTATTTTTCCGGATTTAAATCGCGTATATTTGTTTTTTCAAACAAACCGACGTTTCGGGCCCTTTACAGGTCCCATGGTTTTCATTCCTATGTATAACAATCGCGAAAACCTAAGAACTCGATATTACTTTTAATTTTAATTAATATTTTGTACTTTTTCTTTTATACATCTCCTTCTCTTTAGTCTTTTATTATTTCCTCACATTGTTTGAGAAAAGCACTATACATGCCTCGGCGGGAGCGGGGATTGCGGGACTCATATTAATACTCACTTAACTCATACTCGTCCAGCAATCTCTTACTTCCCGGTCTCTGCAATAATGTACTATAGAACCCAGTGAATGTTAAATCACCCAAAATAGATGTATTTGTGAAATTAATTTTATCGGTTTCCCAAATGTTTCGAATTTAGTCTCTTTATTGATTGTGAGAAATGTACCCTACATGGATTAATTTTTAATTAGCCCGAAACTTCTTTGCACGGCATTGCCATCTATTAAACAAACAACTTTTAGAATTTCAACTACAACAGTTTTTGTATGACATCCAGTGCCGGTACGAATAAGTCATGCGCCTGGTGGTAAGCGACACGCCTACACATAACAGTTGTAGTGCCACTCAATGCTTAAAATCATAAGAGACCTTTGGGGCACTGTCACTGTACTCATCACCCTGTGACAGAAAGGTGACAAGTTCTATCTGCCTGTAATTTAATTAGCACATTTACCCTGCATAATTGGAACGCAGTGATGCCACGATACTGCTTGGCAATAGTTATGATGGCAGTATTTAATAGGACGAACGCTACTGTTACTAAAAAGTTGTAATTAAAAAATACAGCGCGTAAAATATTTGCCAATTTTGTATGACCAAATGGTACAGTGCCTCTAGCGGTCACAAAAAGTACTAACATTTCTGACAGATGTCATCTTCATGGTAAAGCTAATGGATTGGCTATTTCATAAATTCGAATGGAAATAGCAATTTGTTGTTTTTAAAAGATTTTGTTGTTGTTGAATATTAGAAATGTCGTGTTATAGCGTTCCGGGTTAGTTAAAAGCAACCCTTTTAACATCTTTGGATATTTAATTTCATACGATTCGAGAAAAGTACCAATCGATCTGAATACGTGGTGGGTGCATGACTGCTATACGCGTAACATTGCTTATTTTCGTCGCGCTATGGTATTCCACATATTGTACCATTTTTCCTACGGAACAAGGTGCGTGGTCAACTTAATCAATAATCAAGCTTTTGTCTATGAATTCGAAAGTTTTGTACGCATTCGAATATATAAGTTAAGAGGTTTGATTTCTTCAGTTCAGTTGCATTTGCGATTGTAATTCTACAGAAAAGTGCTAAAAGACGCAATCTACGTCGCGAGCGCACTTTGTTTGACATTGAACGCGACGCGTGGTATCCGGGTGTCCGACAGAACCACCCCACCGCGAGCGGGGGGAGGGCGGGGAGGGGGCGACTAGAGCCTGGCGGCCCTCCGGCAGCGGCGGCGCCGCGCGCGGCATCAGCTGGACTTGGTGTCGCCGGCGGCGGCGGCCGACGCGGCGCGCGACACGAACACCTTCACGGCGCCCAGCGACATCAGGTAGAACCAGTACACTTGCGGCAGCAGCAGGATGCAGATCGACACCTTGCAGCCGATCGGAAGACTGCCGATGGCCTGCGCAAGTTTCGTTCATTTTTAACCTTTTCACAGCCACTGACAAAAACATCGCCGACTCGTCGTCGCGCATTTATTTTTTAATAAAAAAAAACTAGTTTTGTTCGAGTGACGCATGTTCCTAGACGCCAAGCCTATATAGTGTGTAATCGTTAAGCCCCGATTTTTTTCGCCCCATAATACAATGAAATAATCTTTACTTGGAACTGAGTCTACCAGCATAATATTTTTTTATCAATTTTATTTATTTTATGGGCAACTCACACTTGACCGTATAAATGCCAATGTCGTCATATTTTTATTCAATTAGTTTATTTATAGCAGATTTGTTATTTGTTAACTTATTGTTACCTCTTACAGTAGTAGTTTCTGTCGCGAATCACGCGATAATCAATCATTTGGTGAGTAAACGAACTTCACCCAATTTTTGTATTGTGGTAACACTGCTTTGCCTTTGCTAACTTTTTATTTTGACACTATCGAGACGGCAGTAACGTCAACGGCAATGGCGGGAACCGAGTGGACTTCAGTTTGGTTAAAACTGAGGATATGGCTGTGTAAGTGAATGTACCCTAAGAGACAAACAACTGGTAAGTTCCTCTATGTACTGTTTAACTTTACGACATGCATAGACACGGTGGAAAGACACACAACTAAGTTAATTGTCGAATTTAATATTGTTACGAAACATGTTCTATGACTATCAATTTGCCACGTGCTGACTCGACCCGCAGTAGACTAGCCTCATTGACGCTTATGACTGTGGGTTCCTATCGTTGGAATGAATCGGGTCGGTATTAGCTGGCATGTACACTTGCACCGCGATTAATAGCCATCGAAGCTTGAAACCTGTTGGGCAGAGGTTGGAATAAAGGGGAGGCTGGAGGTCCACTCGGGGCACCTCTCAGGTGTCCCGCCCCAGTACATAGGCGAGATGTGCTGGGGGTTTGTACGCGACATACGAGGTACACCTCTACAGTTCCTCGTTATAGCGCAATGTAGTGAACCATGAACGTTTTAATCATGGTTCAGTGTCTTTCTACCCGCTTATATGTATACCTATAAATTAAGTATCTTTTGTCGTCCCTCAACATCTACATTGACAATATTTGAACCAGGTACATAGGTATTACAGTCTAATCTAAATCCAATAAATAACAGTTTCAGAAACTAAAGCCTTTCTACAAATGTCATATTAAATGTATGGACGTGCATAGTTTTATTTTTAAAACGTTATTGATGTAAATTTATTGATTAGGTAACGAACCATATCGATATCAGTTTAAAGCTTTTTGATATTTTATATTTATGGAATAATCGCTTGGGCACCTTTAACGATCCCTACCTGCATACGTGTTCCCTAAACGTTATAACTTGGACCTTTTCAATGCGAGAGTGAATAAGCATTATTTAGGTGTGATTGCTCCATCGTTGACTTCATCGTCACCTGTATAGTGATGTGACATGTTATGAATTTCCACCTTACATTTATTCAATTCTCCTAAGACAAAGAAGAACATGATTGAACATAAAATGCTATATAAATCCATACTTAAAAGTGGAAATTCACATCATTATATAGGCTTAGCGTCTAGGGAATTTAAACTAGTTTTTGTCAGTGGTGGTCAAAAGGTTAACATACAAACATTGACTTACAATTATATGGACGTCGGGTCCGCGCTAAAAAGTGTCCGAACTTATAGGGCGTTAAAATCGTATACAGAGCGTCATTCACGCTTTAGTCTTCGTTTATTCGACTGACAGCGAAGCAAGCAAAATTAGACAGTACTGCGATGACATTACAATTTAAATTCAACGTTTTAGCTTTTTCATATTCCTTTACATGTCGCTACGTTTAAATAGGTTGACTTGGGACATTTTTTTCGTGGTTTTTGTATTAGACCCGTAGTCCATTTATTTGTAAGTCAATGCATACAAAGGAATATATTTCAAGTATAGGAGTAGATGTTTATAGTATGACTTGAACTCACCTCGAAGTAGGACAGCCCCAGAACTCTACTGTACATGAGACACACGTAGGGCAGGCTGACGACGCGGCACAGGAAGAAGGTGAGCAGCATCAGTATGCCGTTGATGAGGTACGCCTTGGACGCCTTGAGGTGCAGCCGCGAGAGGATGCCGCGCAAGGACACGAAGGGGGTGGACAGCTCCATGAGGTACACGAACCCGAACACGCAGTCGCCCAAGCCGCCGCGCAGGTACTAGCCATGAAGACACAATCAGGGAGGCTGGCTTATAATATAAGCAATGATCGGAATTAAGGCAGTTAATTTAGCTAAACTAAAGGATCGTCTTGTTTCGTGTCTATTTATTTTTTAATATTTTTTTTAATGCACGCTTTTTTGTAGGTCAGGATTGCACAGTTCATATCGCTTTACTTTTTTGCTATGCTGAATATTGTAGGTACTTTTGTGTTTGTTTTTTATTTTTTTATTTTTGAGGTGTTAACTTTGACATTGTCGCTAACCAGCTTTACCTAAAAATATTCAATGTAAATCGTTATTAATAGCTGTTGTCGTTCCGAATAATAAAAAATAAAATAAAATAAATGAAATAATGTGGACATTTCCTTCTACAAATCCCGGGAATTCTCGAAAGTGATTATATTTAAATATGTGTCGGAAATGGTCATGTCAGGGACGAAAAACTGCGAGACAAAGGCGCCACCTGTAGGTTACAGAGTGTATCGCGCGTTCCCTTTGTCGGTGGACCTCGACGGAGTCTGGGTGGAGAACAGCGGTGAGGAGACAGTGGTGATTGGACTCTCGGGCTGCACACACGCTATCTAGAAACTGTCCTACGTTGCGCCTAGTGCCTATTTATTAGTTAAAATTAATAAAAAAGTACAAGTTGTCATTAAATCATCAGTGATTAAAGTATACAGTGTTACTACTAATAAATCTAACCTCATTGCACGATTCCTAAATCTGCCCAAAGGATGTCTTAAGATTCCGTTCGAAACCCCGACCGTTCGGGCATATTATTTATTTATTTATATTATGCTCATTATTTATTGAAATTTGAGTGCATTGGCGACGAATTATTATTTCCTATTAAGATTTTGCTACAAATTGTTGTCTCAAAAAATAATATTGCCGTTTTGTTTCTATAGGCAGTTATACGTATTTAAATACTTTAGCCATTTAAAAAGTAAACATGAGACAACCTATATTTTGGAAGGTTTAGGAAATAAATAGTAAATAAAAAGAAATTGTATACGCCTTTATGACGAAACAGGTATGTCCTTACTAAGAAAACGTTCATACTTTAGACGTGGCAAACTAGGGCAAATTACCTCCATTAATTCCGATCATTTAATATAATAATAATAAGTAATTTATTCAAGGAACAATTGTTTGCACTGTTCCTAAACGCGTTATTATAATTATTGGACACGACGAGCACTGTAAGAAAGGCTTACAGTGAACTAAGGGAATTACCACTTTATTGACATGGAATT